TTTTAGGAAGCATCCATTTAATCTTATATTAATATATATGAATCGGTATATGTAGGAAGAAGGAATATCTTGTGTTTCCACATTTTCTTGTTAACTTTTCAGTGTCTTGTTTTGCAACTTGCCTTTGTGTATGTCTTTATTCATTACAATTCGACTTGCATATATGACATTCCCATCTTGCTTATGAGGCTTTTTCCTTGAGCCAGGTTATTTGTTACATCTCATCTCGTCCATCAGTGCGCTTAGATACTCATTCCCCCCTCAGAATTTTTGCCAAGTAATAAATCTGACATGTTCCTCATTAATTTTCCAAGAGTCCATTTTAAATATACTGTCACATTTGGAAAGGGTTGATGGTAACAAATATTGTTCATGAGGATGACAGGGCAAAAATAAGTCTATAAGTGTTTACAGTAAAGCCTGTTAAATCTCTGCATTTTCTGACGGAGAAATGGGGATGTTAGAAAATGTGAGCCATTACTATTTCTCCTCTTTGGAAATATGAAGATGATGAAGCTTTGGTCAAACCTATTTGACCCCGTGAGAACTTGGATACTCCTTTGCTGGTTGAATTGCCTTAAAGCTGGAAAAAACAACTCAAGCACCTGGCTTGATGGCATGGCCACAGGTGCTTTGTATTTTCATCTACTTGAACTAGAGCTACCCCAAGACTCCTGTTTCTTGCAACCAGTGGTACTTTTGGAAGTGAAGATGCTGAAGCAGCCAGGAGCAGCAGAGGCCTGATCCTGCAAGATAGTGTTCCTGGGTGATGTCTGTATTTGCCAGTTAATCAGATCAGCTTTGCTGGGATGTTTCTGTTCATACCCTCAGTGAAGACAAGTGACAAATCTGCTGTTCCTCCTCCTGGCAGACAGAAAAGAGGCTGGTGTAATTCTCATGGTCTCAGCATTAAATAGCAGGTGTCTGTTAAGTTCTTTCAACCGTAAAGTCAATTTTCTCTCCGGAGCTGGGACTTTTCTGAAGTGGAAATTTCTGAAGTAAAATGTGGATATATGTGCATATATCGGCTGCTAACCCCTGCATGAGTCTTTGGAGCCAGAGATATCTATGCTTCTCTGTGAGTCATGCTTGTAATACCCAAGGGTCATCTGTTGGCTGGTCTGACGAATGGCACTGAGCGCATATTTGGAGAAAGCTGTCAGCTTCTCTTCACCCCATTTCTCTCTCCTGAAGCCAGGTGGTAGGTCAGTAATGAAAAGCTGAATCAAACTGGAGCAGCTGGAGCAAAACAGTGACCTAGAGTGACAAGATGCTTTCAAGGTTTCTTTGAATATTTTCTTTTATTGAACTAACTGCATAATTGGGATAGAGTTAGACAAGCTTTTGAATGCAAGACTTTTTTCATGTCTTTAAAAGAGCTATCTAAATACCCTGCAGTAACCTGCTACAATCCTTCCCTGTGCAGTCTTTCTGTTGCATTCTCAGACTATCATGCATTCATGGAGGGGTATGTTAATAACCAGGATTTTACCCTTAGTTGGCAAAAAAAAATACATGGTGTACTAGACAGAAGTATTTCTGTATATACTCTTAAGCTTTTTTTTCCAAAATGCTAGTGACCTTTGATAACAGGGGAAAATGGTGATTTAGAAGAATTACTTCTTAACTGTCAGTGAAACTTGAAAACATTCATCTGGTCTTAATTAGTAACATTCATAATAAGTAATGAAGCAAACTAAAGCTGGAGATGTGCATTCACCAGCAAAGTTGGTATATGGGGAAATAAACAGCTATCAGAAGCAAGTAGTTGGCTTAGCACCTCTAAGTGTGTGCACAAAATATCTTTTCAAAATGAGCATCGTGATGAAATGCAAAAACTCATATTGCTATGACAAGCTGTCTTTAATTAGCTCCTGACGTGGTAATTATTACAGTATCTTTTGCTATTAAAATGAATTCTTCACCAACTGTTAAAAGATTACTTTTTCCTGTCTGTTTAGAAGTTAGGTCTGATCCTCAAAGAAGGCTTCTAGTTACTGTGTTGTTTGTAAAGCTAAACTTTTTTTTTTGCAAACACAAGCATTTTATCTTGTAACTAACTGTATCCCCTTCTGCCTGGGAGAAACAGATTTTCAGATGAAATTTTTGTCTGCTTTCTGTGTAAAACTTGGAATATGCTAATAAATATCTTAAAACGCTGTTTTAACCCAGGGATAAGTGGTGTCCTGATTCACACCTGTGCCGTTTCACAACATTAGAATATCTCTTTGAATAGAATTTTCCTAAAGGCATAGCAGAACTATAAGTTGGCTTGCCTTTGAATGGCTGAGGAAATTACATCTCTTAGAATGTTTGCCATTGTTAATTACTGATAATGAAATAAACTTTCAAAACAGTGCAGTAATTCAAAGAATGTAGATTTGTTTTTCTTTGCTCTCTCAGTTCTATTTGGGGATGCTGTCAGGTAAATTCAAGTACAAGGCAATATTCCTTAAAATTGTTAGCTGTATTGTTCCAGGTATATTATAAATACTAATTTATAATGTACACAAATACATGGCAATTTTTGCAAAATGACAAAGTAGAAAACAAAACTAATTAAGGAATGCATTTTCAAGTTTATAAGAGAATGTTAAAAATAACCATAATTAGGTTTCTCTGATTTTTGGTTCCTTTGAAATCTTGCTCATTTTACATGACCTCATTTTGTTGTATGCTCTGGTAAATATTCATAACTCTAAAAAGGTTCGAAGTGTTTGTGGAACAGTAAAATAAATCATAGGCTCCCATGACTGAATCAGTTTTTTGGTTTTTTTTTTTAAGTTGTTTGGCTTGCAGACCAGACAACTTTTGGCAGAAGTGTTAATTTCTCTAAATGGAAAGTTAAAACTGGTGATAATAGTAACAATGGCTTAGGCCATGTCTTGACTGCATGCTTACAGTGGTACCCTTTAACGTGGCATGCTGGTCCACGCTTGCAAATTATCTCCTGTCTGGAAGTGGTATAATTATTTAATAAGGCTATGGACAGGCCTTATATTTGTGCCGGGAGAAAAGCCTTTCTCTTGGCACAAAACAGTGTGCAGCCATTCAAGGGGTTTGTTGCAGAAGAGTAATGACTTTTCCACGAGAATGCAAGAGCACTTTCCACCAGGGAGATCTTTTTCTCCTGTGCCAGCTTGAACAGCTGTATGTTTCTCCCACCCCTTCTGCAGATCAGGGGGACCTTGGTTTGTTGAGGGGGTGGAGAACATATCCCTGATGCTTGATTCCTCTTGGTCCTGGGATGATTGGCTACTGCTGCACACATGGTCTATGGAAGGCACAGGGGGCTTTCCCCATGGCTGTCATACCCAGGGTAGCAGCTGGGGCTGAAAGCTCAGCCTGTTTGCCCACAAGGGTGAGGAGGCAGCTTCAGGCTATAATGCCTGTATGTTCCCTCTCTTGCTAGGATTTTCAGTGCTGCTAATTGCCCAGAAATTGGAATTGAATGCGTGTCCATGCCCCATGTGGCATTAGGGCCAGCTAATTGGAGCTTCTGAGTAGGGCAGCAGGGGATGTGCATAGAGTGGTGTTGTATGTTTGGAGTATGCCGCTGCTGGGGGTAGTGAGTTTGCAGTCTAGACCTGGCTTTGGTATGCTTTTAAATCTCAAAAGCACTAACTAGATGATTTTGGCAGCCACCTTGGTGGCATATAACTTCCATTTTACAGAAGAGGAAACTTCAGCAGAGGAGTTGTAGCTTGTTTAAAGTTTGTAAAAAGTAGGTATTGGTGCTGGTGGTTGGACATTCCAGGCTTTTTGTCAGTAGTCAGGTTGTTAGATGTGTCTCTGTGCCTCTTGGCTCAGTTTGGCCCAACTCTTCTTTTCCCACAAGTGGATCTGTATCTGAAGATGCAGGAGCTGATGCCCTGATATATAAAATGCTGTTTCAGCATAGGCAGGCCTCAATTTTATATTCCTAGTACTTTAAGTATATGCTTGAGTTCTTTGCTTAGATTATATTATAAGGTATTTTTCCTTGTGAAGAGGTAGTTGATCTCCTATTTCATACTGTAAAATTTGGAAATACTTTTATTATCACCAATCTATTGAGTCCATTCCCAAATTGATAGTCTTCTTCACAGTACTTCTATTAAGAAGATATAGCAGGGGCCTTGCTTTCCATGCTATTCAGGTTCTTCTTATCTTTCCATCTAGTATACTTTGGGATTTTGTATGACAGTGGTGATAACCTGCAGAGCCACATCATCTGGCTTTCAGTTCTGGCTCTGGGTCACGTGTTGATCCATGTGTGGCACATGCTGGCACCAGGCCTAGGATATGCTGCATGTGGCACCTGCTTTGTTGCATGTCCCTTACTTATTTAGGCTACTTTTTATACTTCTCTCTGTTTGAGGGTCATGTAAGCATCATCTGGAAAACTCAAAAGGGATAAAGTGAATGCTTTCATCATTCACTCTAATTAATCTAGTTATTATTACTAATATTTGAAAATGTTGTTACAAGCTCATGAAAGTGAGCTTTGCAGTGCTAAGTGATAGGAAAATAATATGAGTACAAGTGTGGAATTACAAAGCTATAGTGTAAGACTATAGTTGTGGAACTTGCTGATGGGGGAATTGTGTGCGCTGCACTGGCCAGTCATGATGATAGTGCCTAGAGCAAACGGTGGAAGCTGTATTTGGTTTGTTATTTCTCAAGGTAATGTTACAATTTTCATGTACTGAAAATGCAGCGTCATGCAGAAAAAGCCAGTTTCAAATGAATCAGTTGAAATAAAGGATGTAGGGTATGTCTCCATGGCATGATGTAGTACTATGCAGAGGCAGCTCTGAGTAAGCTAACTTGGGACCTGGAAGCAGTACAACTGCATTAGCATTGCACTCCTGATGAGCCAACTTATCCTGTTTCTGAACAGAGTTAATTAATATGGGGCCAGAAGGAGTGGCTGCCATGTGAACTGCTGGGAAATGGAGTCCAGCCGTGGAGATCCCCCAGCCCCACTGCACCCCCAGGAACAGCAGGATATACCACAGGCTAAACAGTGCCAGGGCCAGGTAGGACCGAGGAGCCCACCATGGGCCAGACAAAATCCCTCCGCAAGCTGTATTTTGCCCACCCTACCTTAATGTCTCTCTTTTATAAGAATGTGAAGTCTCTTGAGAATTCCATTGACGGTTGAGAAATTGAAACAAAAATACAGCTACTCCTCGCTTAACGGCGTAGTTACATTCTTGAAAAATGCGACTTTAAGCAAAACGATGTTAAGTGAATCCAATTAAGTCACAGTAGTTACCTACTAGCAGGCGACGGCCAAACAACGTTATAACCGAACGTTGTGCGACTTTAAACAAGTATGTTCTTTAATAGATCCGCGATATAATAACGAAACAACGCTAACCGGTACATTAAGTGAGGAGTACCTGTAATGTCTCATTTTTGAACCAAGCAACAACTGTGAATTTGCTTCCTAGTAATAGGTAGTAACTTGAAAAAGTGGATTGCTTTAAAGTTATAAAATGGATGTGGATACAACTAAGAGTATTGGTGGTAGGGTAAAGAGCTCTGTTGCTTCTTGGGTGGATGGTCGGTTCTTATTTTAGTCAAACCAGTAGTGTTCGCTGTTGCTGTCTGATGGGTTTATTGGAAATTGATAAGCAATCTTAGTTTTGTTGCTTAAGTAGGAGCTGCATTCTGAAAAATATCTTTTTATCGTGTCTGCTGAGATAGTCAAAGTGATGGTGATGATGAGTGACGAATTCTCTGCTAGATATTCTCCCATCAAATAAAGGTTAAGGAATGGGGTGGGGAAGTTGATTCTGGCTAAAAATAGACATCAGGTTTAGCCCCAGTCTGATTGTTCCTGGCTTTAACTTCCACTCACACACACAGTTTTAATAGCAGTTAATTTGAATTAGCCACAACAGGGGCGGGGGGGGGGTCAGGGGGAGGGGGTCTCACAGGAAATCCACAGGTACTTAAGTGGGATAATGGGTTTATACATCTGTAGGGTGACAGAGTTTTGTGTTAGGAGAAATCGGAGATCTGATTTTACATTGCATCTGCTGTGTGGATAGGAGGGCAAGGTACTGATTGCAAAATGAATTCAACATGCATGGATCTCTGCTACTGCTGCTGACATGATTGGGGGCTTGTCAGTAGTCCAGAGGATCCCACTGCATATTGCTGGACTGATACCTCTTGATAAACGTTAACGTTCACTTAAGTAAAGTAACAAAGATCATAGGCTAACTATGACATGTAAATATAAGTGCGCTGAAGATGGAAATAATTACATATCTTTGAAAGCTGCATATAAAGTAAAATTTCCACAAGGGTTGTATAAAAGAAGAATTTAAACAAGCTTTCTTTTCTCTGCTTTTTAAAAAAATCTTATTTTGCTTATAGGGATGATACGAGAGAAGGGAAAGGAAAGGGTGTGTGACTTGTTGAGATGCTTGAGATAAAGGTTTTTTGTTAACAAAACATGTCAGAGGTGACTCTTGGTTTTTCTCTTTTATTTTATACACACATTGCTTTATTGTGGTTAGGTTGTGTATTCCTCTGGGGCTGGTTTTTGGTGGTGGTGGTAGGGGAAGTATTTGCTTCAAAAATGCAGAGTAACATAGGACTTTGCAAAACAAAGGAAGGATAAGGTCTGACAGCTTTGATAGTTACCTGAACTTTCTTGTGAGCCTGAACTTTCAATGTGCATGTGCTTATTGCACATGCAAAACTTGCAAATACAAACACCTTGTTTTATGTATGCAAATAGGTACATGTGTATATAGCCAGCTTGGCTGAATAGGGATGATCCTGTCTCGGGCAGGGAGCTGGACTATATGACCTATGAATGTCCCTTCCAGCCCTACTTCTCTATGTTTTCTGCGATGATAAGTATCTAATTTGAATTTATATATGTGATATGACAAATGTATCAATTTGTTGCTAAACATTCGGTGCATCCATGTAACTCTTGTATTCGGTGGGCATTTTAATAGACTTTCAGCAGCTTGTTTGGTAAGTGAGGTTTTTTTGCATAATTATTGAAAATGTTTATGATCAGATACAAGTTTCTGCAGTTTACCTTGTAAAGTGCTACAACAGTGTAAGCGATTAGAATGACTTTGTATCTCCACGCAGGTTCACGTTATTTGAATGATGTTGTTATTGAAAACAACCACATTTGAAAAAATAATATTGAAAAATGCCATGCAAAGCAGTTGAAAAAGTGCTACACACATCATTGATTTCACCAATCTATTTTCTGTATAGGTTATAGGAATTGTAGTTGTAGAACTTTGAGGACTTATTTTCTCTTTCTCTGATACCTTGGTGTCAAAGATGATTTTTTTATTGTTTTCTCTTAGCTAAAATTGCATTCTTGGTCAATGGCTTACATTGATTTCTGTTATATTCATATGCTTGATATGGCCTCCACTGAAGCACTTTACTTTTGATCTTTTTCAATAACTTATACATTTTGTAAAGGTCTCATTGGAAAGTGAGACTTTAGGCCAATGATACTCGGTAATTAGAGAATTGGAGGGGTCCATGTTTGGTTGGTTGGTTAGTTATTTTAGCTGAATTTATTTCCCAATAAGGAGTTACATTGATATATAGATATCTTTTTCTAATTAGACTGCTGCCTTGGTTTAGCTCAGAGGTTCTCAAACTGTGGTTTGTGGACCACCACTGGTCCGCGAGCTCCATTCCGCAGAAAGGTGACCAAGGCTAAAGCTGACAAACATTGCACCCGACTACCCAGAACTTTGCTCAAAAAAACAGGCACATCCATCATATTAGAAAGGTAAGACTACTGATATTAAAATATAAGTTGTGTATTTTGATTTGTAAAACAAAAAAAGTTTATTAAGTGGACCGCCGAGACCCTCAGTAATGTTCAAGTGGTTCACGGGGAAAATAAAGTTTGAGAACCACTAGTTTCATAGTTTCTAGGGTTGGAAGGGACCTGAATAGATCGTCAAGTCCGACCCCCTGCCCTGTGCAGGAACGAGTGCTGGGATCATAATACCCCAGCCAGATATCTATCCAACCTCCTCTTGAAGGTTTTTAAATATGAAAAAATATGTTTTGAAATAAAATTAAAATATGTTATAGTAGATGTTTGATTTTTAGTATATGATTTGTTTCTTTTCTGGTTCCATGATGTTGTGTCCCCCCTCACCGAAGGAATGCTCCTGGTGGGCATGGGGAAGGACTTCCGGTGGCAAAAGTCAGGGGTAGGGAGTGGGACTTCCAGTCCCAAGATATTTAGCTGTTCGAAGCTGCAGTTGTACATTCAAACTGAATGGTGACTGGCCCAAAATGTACATAAAGATCCTATCCCAATTTGGCAGCTGACTATCATAGTGTGGCTTTATTATGAGACAGATAAGGTGTATCATGCAGGTTGGTACCAAGATTTTAATGGGGAAAAATAAATTTGGAAGGATTTGATGATTCCTCATTTAGGATGAGGATTCATTTTTTTTCTGTTGACCCTTGTCCACCTAACAGGAGCTGTTTGCGGTAGTAAATTTCATAATACAGTTCAGCCAATAGAGGGGACTTACTCTTTTTCCTGTTTCAACTCTATTAACCATCTGTTAATCCCATAAGGTTCAACCTTCCATGCTGTAGTCCTGCAATGGACCTCTGCAAGAAGTAATATCTGGTCTATTTGAGTAGGCCCCCTTTGCTCCTCAGGAGCTCAGCTGTTCGCAGTTTTTTCTCTATAGCGCTATGTTTGAGCATCTGGCACCAGCCCTCTAACTGAACTCCTTGGTGTGCGGGCCGGCTCCCGATCTCGGGGGCGAGCCGGGCCCGTCTTTGCGCACACAGGCTGTGGCCAGCAGCCCAGGCACGCGGGGCCGGAGAAAACCGCGGCGCGGTATGGTACGCTCGAGCTAGAATCAGTCACGGAGGTGTAATGGTTGATTGAAAAGATTATTTACTTACACCCAAGGTGGTCGCGGTGTAGGCTGGTCAGCTTTCCAGGCACAGCTCCGCTTGAGTTCTCGGTGGAGGACTCTGATAGATTCGGTTCCTGACCCCGGAGCGGTTTAGGCTCCGTGGGTTCAACAATTCTCGTTCACGGAGCAGCTGAATCTCCGTGGGTTACACTCGGTTCCCAGGTCTCCCGGAGCTGTTAAGACTCCGTGGGTTCGACAATTGGGTCCATAGGATAGGGATACGTCTAGGATTGTGGTCGGCGACGGGGAGAGTCTAGAGGTTATATGCCCCGGAATTGTTAAGGCTCCGGGGGTTCGGTAAATAGGTCCTCTGGAGTTGTTGAAGCTCCGTGGGTTTGACAAATTAAACCTCTGTTGCCCTCTTAAGGAAAAAGCTGGGTTTGAGAGGATCAGCAGCGCTTAGAGATCCTCACGCTCCTTTCCCGAACTCCACGTGCGTTCTCTCTCTCCGACTTGGGCGGAAACTACCCAAGCCTTTTGTACGGCTAGCAAGCCAATAGCTAGCCACCACGCGTGCCTATATTAAGATTGGCCAATAATGTGGTGGAAATCTCAATACAAATGGCGAGAAATATTCTCCTGCACGCGGGTTCTCTATTACAGCAGAACACTCCACCGTGCAAAGGAGCTGCAACTTAGCGGGAACATAATTTAGTGGTGCCAAAGCACACACAAACAAAAAACCACAACTTTGGGTTGTGACAAAAAGAAGTGTTAAAAGGGGTTGGCTATTTCCCCCTTGAAGCTGTTTCAATGCACTCCTTTTCCTTACAATCATTAGTCATGAGATGGGGAGGGAGAGAGAGAGGAATGAACTGTGGGCTGCCAATATGGGGTAGAAGTGTAGATAGATGCAAAGAAGGCTACAAAACTGGCGGGGAAAAAGCTCCTGCACGTGGGTTCTTAATTGCAACAGAACGCTCCACCGTGCAAAAGAGCTGCAATTTAGCGGGAACACAATTTAGCGATGCCGAAGCACACACAAACAAAAAACCCACAACTTTGGGTTGTGACACTTGGCATGTACCTATGGAGGTATGTGTTACTGCACAGCCTCCTGGCATCTGTCTCTGGCTTCTGTG